TAATACTCCAAAGGTGTCCTATTGGATTCAAGCATTGGGTTTTGAACTTTTTCTTCTTTAAAAAATCTCATTTGAATCTAATTGTAATTTCTTTTGAGCAATATTGCGATTGTGATGTAATATGCAATTTTCCTAATTCTTCTGCAAACAAGCTTTACTGTAAATGACAGCAAGAAGATGAACCCAACATCCTCATATAGTATGCACCTATAGTGCTGAGGGTTGGGTTTACTGCAGTTCAATTTGCTTTGTATTAGGGGTGTTTAACCCTTATGCATCCCTAAGTACATTTTTGTCCTTTTCACATTTTTATTTTCAAGCCAATAATTTTACGCCATTAGAATAGCTTTGCGTGTTCATGCATGTGCGCGTGCGAACACGCACGAGAATGTGCACAAACACACAGAGGCACGCACTGGATCAATACAACATCAAAACTGATATGCACTTTATCAAATATTTTCATTATTAGCAAGTCAGCCTTGCAAAAAACAGTAGAAAAAGTGCATTTTGGTTTCGTTTTGGCTGCAGGCTTCAAAAATGGAATCATGTCACCATCTGCTGGATGACTATCAGAATTACAAGTTGGGACCAAGTACTTCAAAATTCATTAAGAACAGAGCGCGGTGCATTGCTTTATTGTAGGATAAATATGGCATCAAAAATAACATTTTTAATGGGTTTCAATGGGACAAAAAATGTTTGGAGGGCGATCTCTGAATGGATTTTTAAAAATCTGCCACTACAAAAACAAAAAAAACAAACAAAAATAAATCAGTATCAATGTTACTACCAATCACTGACCTATCCCAGGGCCTAATAATAATAATAATAAAATACTGGTTGAAATGTATTTTTTGAAAATTTTTTTCCATTGAAAAAAGAGGGGTTATGACAACATACTGGCCTTTAAAGGGTTAAAAAAAATCCCAAAATATAATTAATATTTGACATGTATATTTCAGACAGAAGTAGTTTTAAAAGATTGGCTAGTTTAAAGTGGAGAAAAATATGAATTTATGACATTTTTAGAGCTGTTTTTCCAAAGGGTACATTTTTTGTCCAGAGGGCCACTTTTGGATGGATTTTAAAGGATGGCATGAAGGTTAATCTATCATGATAATAACAAGTTAATGCAAATTCCTTTTAAAGCCAATAGTTTTTTTGATGCATGATTAACACATGCACACCATTTGATTATGACCCTCGCCCTGCCCCATAGTTTGGGAAACTAGGAAGCAAAGCAGCAGCAGCAGAAATTGGCAGAAATTGTTAAGAAAAGGGTCTTTTGAATGGCAAGTTCAGCTTCAAAGCCCTGCCAGATGGTTCTGTCAACAAGACCAAAATTATTTGCATTTACTGTCGATATGAACTGAGTTACCACCGTCGAGTCTCAAATATCACTTGCTAGTCAAGCACACAGCTGTTGTAGAGAGTCGTACGTCCCCTTGCCAAAGGCAGACCATGCTGGATAGTTTGCAACGGAGACGCCTGGACAACTCTACAAGCAACAGACTTTCAACAGCGATAGCTAAATGTGTGGCTACAGCTTGCAGGCCAATTATTACTGTGGAGGACAAGGCTCTGCTTGAAATAATTTGCACTGCATCCAAAGACTGCACTTACAGTATGAACTACCCTTAGGAGCCACCACTGTAACCAAGACACACAAGTTGTATTAAGATGAGAAAGCTGAAGTGGAGAAGGTGTTGGGACAGACAAACATGGCTGTGCTCACTGGAGACTACTGGACTTCTCTCAGTAATCACAGTTGCCTCAGGGTCCCTTTAAGGTACATTTAGAACCAGTGGTGGAAGAAGTACTCAGATCCTTTACTTAAGTAAAAGCAGCAATACAATAGGGTAAAATACACAGTTACAAGTAAAATTCCTGCATTCAAAATGTTACTTAAGTAAAAGTACAAAAGCATTAGCATCAAAACATAAAGTACTAATAGTACTCATTATGCAGAACGGCACATTTCACATTCTGTATATCAAATCATTATAATTACTGTCAACATCACATTTTATGTTACAGCAAAAGTAACTAGTAGCTAAAGTTATAAAATAAATATAGAGGAGTGAAAAGTACAATATTTGACTCTAAAATGTAGTGAAGTTAAGGTATGAAGTAACAGAAAATGCAACGTACACATACCTCAAAATTGTACTAAAGTACAGTAAATGTTGCTGAGTTACTTACCATCACTGTTTAGAACAGATAAAAAAAAAAGTGGGATTAATTTGCAATAAATTACAATACTTGAATTAATGTATTTCTGATGAAACCAGGACAGAAAACAAAGCTGTACATCACCCTGCTAAGTAAACTAAGACTAAGCTTCTGACTAACCCTTATGCTGTAGGCTACAACATGACTGGTGCTTGCTGTGTGCTGCCAACATTCCTTAGGTTTTTCATGTTCTTTAACAATGTTTAATCTTGTAGTTTTATGATCAGTACCTACAGAGGCTGACTTAATGCGTTGTCTTTTACACTGTGATCCGTTGCCGAAACACCAGTTTCCACAAATGCTCCTTGTTCCAAGGCAGAAGCACTTATCCATCTATTTTTCAACACAAGATTGCATAAACAGTAAAGTGTGCCTGAACTGTGCCAGTCTGTCTTCTGTTACTGAGTGTATGACACTCTGGTTTCTTCCTTGTTCAGGCAGTGTGCTGCCATATGAAGCCATGTTGGGTTAGACACAATCCAGGCAAAACTGACAAAGCCGTGGTGTTCAAAGGTTCGTTTATGACCTTGTTTATGCAATTAACTAAATAACTGCAGTGGTCACAGGTGTAATTCACTTTGGTTTCACTGAGATTGCCCTTTGGGGCCCATATTGTATATTGTTTACCCTACACTTCAACTTAAAAATAAGAACTTATTCTAATTGTTTAAGATGAACCATTTAATGTTGTAGTGGTACTGCATAAGAGTAAAGTCAGTGTTGTTGTATACTGTGTCTCTACCAAATCTGCATGTCCATTTAATAAATGAAAGAGAGTGCTGTGGCCATGGATGCTTCAACTGTGGTTAACTGATAAAAAATAGAAAGTTGGTAATCCAGTTTTCTGTGCTGTGGCTGCTGCTTCATATGCACATCAATCACTTTGTTGTCCTATATTTAGTTAATCCTTGGCAGCATTTCTCATTTTGACTTCTTAGTCACCATCAGATAACAAAGAGTTTACTTGCAGATTAAATGCTTGTGACTAGTATTGATTATTAGTTTTGAACAAAAGTGAGCTGTGTGCATGCATGAGTGCACATGTCAGTGAGGGTGTATTCTGATGGCCTGCATTAAAAAGAGTAATAACCTCACAGATGGCGAGGGGCTGGACCGGAGCAGGCGATGTGATGGAGAACAATTGTTGAAGCTTGATTGCTCAAGTAGCACAAGGCAGGCCTGACAGGGGAGGGGGACTAGTGTATGTATGTGCATGTGTGTATGTAAGAAGTGGGTGGAGGGGGTTGTTTAAGTTTAACTAGACCACTGCTACCCATTACAAGGCTGACAATTATGTGGTTTGTCGCACACACAGAGTAGATCAAATCAGGTTTCATATGCTGCTCTTGGGTTTCATCTGTTTGATTCATCATCATCTCAAGTATGTGGAAATCATTTGTATTCTTCCACAGCTGCACATTCATTCCTCCCTGTGGAGAGGTGATTCGCTATTATATGGATAGGTGCAAAAGTCAGCCGGTGTAAAAGGACAATAAATCCATCTGTCACTTATGCAAAGTGATGTAAATTGGGTCCTTGATTAAGACACAGAGTCATTTAAAAAACAGGGACTGGCAGTACCTTGACACATGCACGCACATACACACACACACACATGAGCTCTCACACTCAGTGTTACATATGTATGCACACACACAATCTCAAACTCACACTCAAAGCCACTCATACACACACGCTTTGATAGCTCTATGTATCTCAAGCCCTCTCTCTTACACTCACACACAGACTAAAATCCCCTGCTGCCCTGTGCCTGTCACTAGAGCAGTTTATCAAGTAATTATTGTTTGATTACAGCGTTTCATTATCTGCACTGATTGAGTCACAACTGACGGCAAAGGTCAAGCGCCATTAACGTGCTGCTCCTGAAACATATTTCCATGCTGGCCATGTGTTTGCCCTCCCCTCTCCTCTGAAAGGGCTAATTGCAAATGCATTTGTTTGAGGAAGAAGAGAGACCACCCGCTCTGATCTCCCCTAGGTCCCACTGAGATGAAATATCAATTCAGCTCAAAGCCAATGCTCAGTAACACATTAGACACACATACACTGATACGCATAGGAGCAGATTGCTACCATATCCAATTGTACTTAACTGATACCTATCAAGCAAAGACACAAAGGCTCTCATAAAACCATTCTGGACAATAAGGGAGTGAGTGACACCGTCTGATTTTACTTAATAATAATTAAACAATGAGTCACTATGGCCAAGATCTGGTGAGCATAATCATTGCCAACATGTGATAGTGACCTGTGGGTGAACACTTAAAGCTCTATGTATGTCCAGTGAAAACCATGTATCTTAATATTTTGTAGGATTCAAACTCAATTTTGTTTTCAGATAAACTAAAGGATTGAGTGCTCCTTTATGATTTGATTTCACTGTCCTAGGTAAAAAAAAACAAAAAAAAACTTAAGCATTTAAAGCCTCTGTGAATCCTTTAAAAATGCATTCTAACAAAGCAATGGTTTATTATTCTGTCTATTATCATGTCATTAACTTTACTAAATATAATGCATTAAAACAGCATTTTAACATACTTATTCTCATTTCCTCATTGTGTTTTACTGGTGCTAATTTATATTCTAGGAAAATGGCAGAAAGTGAGTGGGTTCCTCTGAATACATAAAATATTTCAGTCTGGGCCAAAGTGGTGGACAGAAAAACTGACAGACTGACATTGCCCTAGAGGGCCACACTGCTAGAAGGGCAAGGTTGTTTGTAATTTAAAAGTGCTCCCTACCTGGGTGGGAAAGAGATCTCCAGTTCATGCAGCCGATCCTTGAACACAGACAGCTCTTTGTCAAACTCTAAAAGCTGTGGAAAGAAAAAACAGAACAGTAATGCGGAGAGAGAAAGGTGTTATGACTTTTTAAAGTATTCTGATCAAGGGAAAATCAGCTGAGCATGGACACTCTTTTTCAGCTCTGCTTTACTTTCACATTCTCTCTAAGACTTGGCTGGCACCAGTGGTTTTCCACTGTAGACCACAGTAGGTCAGTTTTTGTGATTAGGAATATGGACCAACTGGACTGTATTCAGATGTCAAACTTCAGATTTGTCTTCAAAAAATAATTAGGCTTTTCGCCAATGAACAGACACATGCTAAGACAATTCAACCAGGGCTCAGACTTGGTAAGGTGGGGACCTAAAGAGCACTGATGAGAATGAAGATACCATCCTTATTATCTTACTCAGTTACATTCATAGACCCAACACTGGCATGATACTGACAGCAGTTGACCAGTTGTGAGTGTGTGTCCTACTGTGGGTCTCTCTCTCCACACTGAGAGTGCATCCACAGACTCTTCATCAATCATGTCTCCTCACCCAGCTGTACCCACTCACTAGAGTGTACACACTTCCCCCAATTTCTCCCCCTTCACAAAACTCATAAATCATTAGTGAAAAGCGCAATTAGCGGCTTCTTGTACACATTAATTATCTAGGAGATGAACAGGTATCTTCGGCAAATGCATGACGGCCTCCCCGAGAGACTTACAATATTTCTCAGTAGCCTTGGAGGACCTCATGCTAGCCACTCCCTTTTCTTTCAGACAGAAAGACAACCCAGGACGGAACGAAAACATGTTAGATTAGTGGTAAATTGGGTAATTGTATCATTTCAAAATCCAGGCTACAATTATGGCCCCATGAAGACCTAGATGGTAGTCCGACAGTGGTAGTACAGGCACCTTGATGTTACTGACATTACACTGGCGTATTACATGCACCAACATGTTGACGGGTATATGATGAAATATCAAGGTAGTGCATATGGATAATATTTGGAAGGACATCCTCCCAAAGAGGAGACATTTGAGGAGGGACGTGCATGCCATTTTATTTGTATTATTACATCAACAGAAAGTAACTACTGTGTTCCATCTAGACTGACATATTTATGTTGTGCGTGTATGACCATGCATTATTTGTCCTTACAATGCATCACTGTTGAGTACACATTCATAAATAAGCCCAAGTCCAGTGTGTGCCTTCACAATGGTGCTCTGTGCGTGTGTGTGATCATGTGTCAGTGGTGTAGAACAGTGGCCATTACTTGCAGGCAAAGCGGCCTCTCAGACAGAGTTTCAGTGGTTCAGGAGGGCAGATCATTCATCAAACTCACACTGCTGAGGTCACAGGAGAGACACACACTGCGGATGAGGGATGGCAGAGCAGGGGATGCAGCCCCACACTCCACTGTGTACCCCAGCTCACCATCCACCCACTGATACCTTCCCCCATTGTGTGTGTTGTAGCCTGACTGAGTGGAATTTTGAGAATGACAGCATTATTGATAATTGCATGTTTACAATATTGACATTTCACTGTGAAATTGAAAACTGCAAATAAAATGCATTATTATTTTTTAAAATTCTGATAATTGATTGTGTGCTTACCATGTACTTACAGCCCAGACTGTTAGTACTTGGACAATTACAAGACAGTTACAATTCAAACTTAAATTTGAAATCAAATAATGAAAACAACATTACTATTCCAAGTCTAAGCTTTAATTTGAGTAATGAAGAAGACAATTGCTGTATGAGTATAAGCTAAAAAGCAAAAATGTTTTAGAAAAATATAAAAATTACCAGCTGTGCACATTCTAACAAAGCAAGGGCAGAAAAAAACTACAAAATGTATGGTGAAGAAAAAGCCCTTCATGACTGCACAGTCAGTCAAGAATGTTCTTCAGGCGAACATGTTTCCAAAATGTCACCATGTCACAACCAGAAACTGACAGGATTTAACCTACAAACCTCTGGTAAGCCTCAAAAAGAGAAGACAAAAGGCTTTCAAACAGAACCTAGAAGAGTTCTGGAACAAAGCTCTGGATGAAACAGTAATCAGCCTCTATCAATATGATTGAAAAGTAAAGGTGGCTTGAGGTGGCTGCAGTGAAGACTCAAGAGAGCATCACCAGGGAAGACAAAGCGTCTGTTGACACCTATGGTTAGAAAACATCAGGCCACCATTAACTGCAAAGGATTTTCTACAAAATATTATACATGATGGTTTTACTTTGTTTTCATATGCATCTGTCCAAGTACTAATATAAACAAACATTTTATCAATTTAATTCATAATAAAATGTTGCCATGCTGTGTGTAATGATAAGGACATTTTGTAGTTGGTAAAAAAAAAAACAAAAAAAAACTGACGGCTGTGCTCTCAGGTCAACAAATATGGTGAAATTTCTTGTTACTTATTGGCCACTACTGGTACTAATATATCTGCAGTAAGTTAATATCAGCTGATAAATTGGCCTACTTGACTAACCAGTCTAGGTCTAACATGTCTCTGTGTGAGTGCGTGCAATAAATTCAGATATAGCAACCGCCAATTTTTCTATATGCGCACATACAGTAAGTACCTATAGTATGCACATGTTCACAGGTGTGCCTCACATTATTTGGGACAGTTTAAATAGCAGAGTAAGCAACATATGGCTGTGTGTATCTACAGAGTGTGCACCTTAAGTGACTGTTGAGCAATTCATTGAAGTTAATGCAAGACCTAGCAGCCACAAATTTCACACTACATTTCACCCCAGGGCAAATTAAGCATAATGCTTTGCTGCTCTGTTAGGTCAGCAGTTAAATAAAAGAGCTTATACTGGTTCATGCCTTGTGACATTATAACTCCACGAGAAGTATGTCAACCAGAAATGACCTTGGGAGCAGTGGTGGAGGTGGTGCAAGATGATGGTGTTCCAGCAATATCATGGGGGGTGGTGGGGGGTGGAGAAGTGTTTAGGTAAAAACTACCTTGTCATGGCTCGAATGATCAGCACCATCCTAAATCAGATTGGTGCTGATAGTTAGGAGGCAGGAAGTTGAGGGGGGTAAAAAAGGGATATATAAGGTCTTTGGCCCTCAACTGTTCCTCTCACTGTACTGGTGAGTTGTCCATCACATGTAATTGTGCTTTGATTTAAGCGTTGTCAAATATCCCCTACGCCAACACCTGCTGCCATTAAAACCCATCAATAAATGTTGGGGTGAAAGGTCATTTAATTTGATTTTTACACCTCACACTTGGCTTTCATTACAGCAGCCATATTTTCCCTTCTTTTTATGGGATCTTCATTATTTTGTGAAAAGTGATAAACTGGCCCTGACAGGTTGGTTGGTGCTGAGAGTGGCCAATCCAAAAAAAAAAACAATACTCCAGTACAGTACAACACCGAACTTTATTTAAATGTCTACTAAAACGCGCAGAAGGGAAAGAAGCTAGATGAGGACAGATTCAAAATTTCTTGAACAACAGGTGTAGGCAGTGGCAGTAAAAACTAATCATAATCATAATTAGGTTTCTGTACATTTGTGCCATCTATTATGATTAATACTTTCAGAATAGAGGCAAGCTAAACTAAAACACAAAACCAGTGCAGCATCACTATAAATCCTTTAAGGTCAGATTTCATTTATCATGGCTCCTGTATTGTCATTTAAGAGCTCTGACAGGTAAAATATAAAACAAGGTTGAGCCGAGCAGCATTTGTGTCTATTTTTTATGTCCCTCTCATGTTTAAAATGTCTCCGGACTTTGACTAATGCTGAGGGCTATGCTGGCAGCATGACAACAAGAGGCAGGCCAGACAGAAAGGTTCATCACTTACTACAGTAAGTACACAAACACACCCTCCTCTCCTGGTCCCCCATCTGCTGACACCACATTGATAAAGTTACAATAAAGAGATACTGAAACAAAATCAATGAGGACAGAGGAGGGGGACAGCCCTGTGGTGCATGCTCCACCAGAAGAAGAAACTGTGCAGAGCTACAGATGCACAGCACAAACATGCACGCTATGCATTAATGTACACACACACAAAATTCTGCTCCCCCTATATTTCCACTGGAGCAAGGTCCCGTGGTGCCCCTTGATGCCACAAGTGCCCAGAAAATTTAATCTTCCCAAATACTCATCAGGGCTCTCCATCGTGCTGCTGTGACAGCACCGGGGATAATTAATTATACAATTTTGATGGAAATATCGACTAAACAAACCTATTAATCATAGGAAAAGTCAATAGACATGGACACATTCAATCATGTCCCGGCCAATGATTACTCCTCTCAAAATACAATAATTATTTTCAAGAGCTCCCTCGAATTAAAATTCTGTCAAGCTGGTACAAGTCTTGTAGTTGATGAAGGATGCAATGAATTTTTTTCCTTCCCCTTCCCAAGTGGTGGAGTGTGAGGAGGGACATTTATCGTTTTGGAAAGGTATTTTGTTTTATAAGGATCATAACATGATGAGTTTAACTAGACCATGACCATCAGATTATCTCTGATGCCCCCGTTATGTCATCCATCTTGTCTGACTTGGTGAGGAGGAGGAGAAGGAGGAAGGGAGGAGGAAATTAATGGGTACTTCAGCCTCCTGGAGCTACTGTTACACAGTGAGGGTCAGCCAGCATCTGAGTCATCCAAACTTTATCTTTGGTTAATCAGCTGAATGATGCTGTTGTTAATATGCCTTTATGGAAAACACGCATTCCCCAATCATGCGTCCAGCAAACGGAATTGCTCAAACAACTCAAATTGTCTGACCAGGCCTTACTAAACCCCAGAGATGCTCAAGTTTCCAAAGAACATAAATATAGTTAAGTCAGGCTTAAATATGGGGGACCAGCTTCAGTGAAATGGTTGGGAAAAAAACAGATACAAAATTAATTTAATATGAAATATTATAATATACATGAAATTTTCCCCCTTAAAATTAAAGACATTTTAGGGAGAAAAGCTGTGTTACTATGTTGATGATGCTCCCTACCCATCTGTCAATCATTCTGGTTTAGGCCATAACAAAATTCAAAAATACTCAAATAATTCATGGCCATGCAAACAACACAAAAAAAAAAAAAAAAAAAAAAAAAAAAAAAAAAAAAAATAAAATTTTTTTTTTTTTCCAAAATTTC